ACTTGCTTGAATTCATGCAGGGCAATGTTCCTGGTTGTTTTCCCCTGACAACGGCTCTGCCTAAGACTCATTAGGTGCTCAAAGGCCTAATCAGCTGATCACAGTGTGTGTTAAGTTCCTATCTTTGTGCTCTTCACTGCCCAGGGGAAAAGCAGAGGATGCAAGTAGCTGGCGTATCGTTTTGGGTAAGCATCAACTGAAAAGAGCAGAGTCCGCTGAGCGTATTTTCCCAGTGAAGAGGATCTACAGGCATGAGCACTTCAGTTATCCAGCCCTGGACTATGACATCGTATTGGTTAAAGCTGCCACGGACATTCAGACCAGTAACTTCATCCGCTATGCCTGCCTGCCGCGCAAGCAGATCAACCTTAAACCAGGGCACTACTGTTGGGTGACTGGCTGGGGGGACACACGAGGTAAAAACTGCATTATACGCCTTTGACCTTCATGTATTAAAATAAGAACCTTTTGTGAAAGTTGGGCCTTGAAATATGATGGCTGGATTATTTATGAAATCATCAGCTCATAGATAAAATGTAGAGTGTACAGTAACACCGTACCCCACCACAGTTTCTACAATAGAACCTAGTTTATTTTACGTCCCTAATGAAGTACTTTAACATTTTGTTAACATCATTGAATTTACAAAGGGAGGTGATCCACTTATCCAGAATATGGCCTTGGCATCTCTTCTTCCTCTGTAAAGCTTAGGTGGGAAAGAAAATGTGTCACTTGCTGAGGCTCTGAACCAAGCTCAGCTCCTAGTCATTGACTATAAGACCTGTCGGCAGAAGAAGTTCTGGGGTGACCGTGTGAGAGACTCCATGATTTGTGCTGGGTTCCGAGATACAGAGGGGACCCCAGCCGCATGCCAGGTGAGAAAACAGTTTTATGGAAAAATTCATCAAGGTGCCCCATCTTTAGCTCTATTCATACCTTCTGTGTGGCTCTTCTACCAATAGGGTGACTCTAGTGGCCCTCTGCTGTGCCAGGTGGGGCGTAACCACTGGGAGGTCCACGGCATTGTGAGCTTTGGTCCTATCGAATGCATGGTGGAGAACAAGCCCAGTGTCTTCACTCGCACCACAGCCTACATCCCATGGATAGAGGTCACGCGCATCAGGGACTTCTTCTTGCACTAAATTCCAACCTCAAAGAATTCCTTGCCCATATTTGTAGGCAAAGGAAGAGTCGTAATAGTAACAGGTTTAGTACCATGTCCCGGGTCTGGGTCTGGCCCATGAAATTGCTCATCCATTTGTGGTGCGCTGGGAGCTGCACTGTAAATAATGCTTGTGATTTTAACAGTAAAAGACTGTAAAAATGCTACAGTAAAAACCTGTTAATTGGTTAACAGTACGTTTCCATAATATATTCGGTGAATAAATGTAATTACATTTAACGTAATTTTACAGTAAAATACTGTTAAAAATACGGTTTTTGGAAGTGAAAAAGAAAAAGTCATTCTATAATTTACAGTGAAAAACCGTAAATTGACACTCCCAGAATTCCCTGCATGACACTTCATAGTTTGATTTTTTTGTTGAAATAACATGTTTCTTCTTAGTTTTTCTTATCAGTTGTGTACATTAGAGTTTAATCGTACATCTAATGTTGTTAAATGAATGTTTATTGCATTATCTCAGTATCATGTGTGTCACCATGATTGGGTTTAGTGTTTGTGTGAATGAGACTGTGCACCTTCTATAGATAAGTATTGCCCTCCTCAGCTCGTTGAAAAGCTGTTTATGATGAGCTTTGGTTCTAGTGATGGGAAGTTCGGATCATTTTACCGACTCGGACCTTTGAGTCTCGTTCAGCAAAATGAACAAATCTTTTTTCGAGTCATTTCGTTCATTTTAACAAAATAGAATTAAAATGTTACGTGTTACTTCCCTAATATGTCTACTACTTATGCAAACGTTGATCACACTACAAACAATACAAAACTGCTATAAGAAACAGAAAAGATGAATTCATTGTTTACCTGAGTCTTCAGTCTATGATTAGCTCACCACCTCTTATCTGACAAGTCTTCGGGTTTGGGCTTATGGGGCTGTCACGTGATGAATAAACGACTCAAACCCAAAGACTCAAGAGATGAACTAATCAGTTCTCTTTCCGGCTCAGACTGCATTGGTTAAAGCTTATGGGGCTGTCATGTGATGAACGAACGACTCGGAAAAAACCCGAAAACCAGGTGAACTACTTGACTAATTCCAGTACACACTATAGGATGTTGCGCATGCGTGACTGAACGAATCACTCCCCGAGACGACTCGTTCTTCCCGAGTCACATTAAAGATTCGTTCAAAACGAACGAATCGTTCAAGAACGACCCAACACTATTTGGTTCATCATGTGACTTTCTCATTACCACCAGTTTTTGGTGGTTATCAATGCATTACAATGGTTCAAAACAGATATTAGTACTTCAATGTGCTGGTTTATTAACATTACATCAGTTAATGAAATACAGTATTTTATTGTGAATTTAAGTCAAGTCTGTAAAACCTAAAATGTTGCTACCATATTTTTCACGGTGAAGTTCTGGCAACCACAGCTGCCAGTATTTTACCGTAAATGTCACAGATTTTTTTTTTACAGTGTGGTGTACAGCATCATAAACACCAGCAACCAGGTTAGGGTAGTTTGCACTGGCTTGTGGATTGTTTCACCGCTATGCGTGTGAGATGGGCTTCGCTGTAGTACACCAACTGCAAAGTTTTAACTGCTTTCAGCTAAATCACATTCGGCAAGCCAAGAAACATCTGTAAAATAAGTCCTGGCTATTCAGCATTGCATTACACTCATTAGTTCAGTTGGCCTTGTTTTTTTTCTGTAAGGACTGGCACATACATTTGCCCTATCACAGGCAGTTCAACGTTCAGTTCTTAAGGTGCTCTGACGGTCAGCATCAAGTAATGATAGAAAATTTCACCAGTTGTGGGAGACTTTCTCCCTTAAGAACAGTCTAACTGCAGTGGTTTTCACTGTACAGTAGGGAAGTAACGATTAACTGCGAGCCGGTTGAAAATCGATTTAAATACGTGATCAAATACATGACGATTCAAATCGGTCGAGATGCTCAACAAATCGCGATTCATTTAGGGGTAGGAGTTTATATGAATTTATGTCTGAGGGGAACTTACTGTCTTTAGAAAAGTTTAGATGGTATTTTTTCTTTTCATCTTGCCTCTGTATAACGCATATTAAAGTTCATAAGTGCAGCGCTGCTTTGTTTACAGCGGAAACCAAGGAAATGCTTTAAGCGCCACCTGCTGGCAGAGGGTGAATCTGCATCTCATTCAGCTCGTCTGCTGTTTCTGTTTCATGCAGATATTTTTTATGCATAGTTTCACAAAACTGTCAAATCATTCTGTTTTTGCTTCAAATTTCGAAATTATACAATGTAATTTAGATTAAAAACTGCTCATGTTGCATGTATGCAGCATCTTTGTTTTGATCATGATTAAAATGCAGTGGTTGCCTCTCATTTTAAATGTTAAGAGCACAGACAAAGCCTTAGTTTGTTTATATGAAGATATTT